AGTAGGCGTCTTTTGATTGTTGGCATTTGGAAAGCCTACTAGCGTTGGCGTGATGAGATTTTCTTTGATACGGAGAGGCGGTACCGCATGCAACATACAAGACGATTTCTTTCGGGGCTTAAGAATCCCTTGGTCTCGACCAAATTGGCGACCCCAATCATCGATCGCGTCCAAGAAGGGTTGCAACAGAATAGACTGCAGAGCCTGCATCCGCGTGTCGTCTAAAAAGATGTAGGTTCGAAGGAGTTTCGGCCGAAATTGCGCAAGCGTAATAGCTAGTCCATATAAATGATAAACAGCTGTGACCGACAATCGAACTTTGGAGTTTGCCGTTCGTTCTATGGAATAGAGGTGAAAGCCTAAAAGGATACGTTGCCCGTGTGGGGATATTCTCGAACAATGCACGGAGACGATTGATCCAGTTTTCTGGCATTCCAGCGTGGCGCAACAGTATCCATTTGCGCGGGAGGACCACCTTATCATATGCTTTAGCAATATCAAGACACACATCATTCCAGGAGTCTTCGGATTGTGTCTCAGATTTTATCGCGGCTAGGGCATGAGTATGGCAGGGGTAGCGTGAATTAAAACCAGCTTGAGTTGCATTGGTGGTTGATCCTGTATGATTTGTTATCCGCTGTAGGAAGCACTTCTTAAAAACTGCGTCGAACAATATGCGTTAAGGTTTTCGGTCGAAATTCGGCAGCGATGCAATATCCGTGTTTGCTTTCTTCGGATGGGCTGTCAAGAGAGTACAGTTAAGAGCTCTAGGGAATGTATCAGCCAGTAAAAGGGCAGAGAATGCCTCAGCCAAAATGCTAATAAGTGGACTGTCAGGGTCAGGGCGTCCCATAGTCGGGGGTTCAGTTGATCGTTCTACTGCAGCCTTAAGGAGAAGGATATGGATACCATCTGAACCAGGACCGTTGTCTGGATATCGCAGTATTGCCTCCAACACCATCTCCGAGAGAACAATTGCATTCGATGTAGGTGTTGGTGTTGTGTCTGGTGGGATGACGTGTGGGTTAGTTGAGTTGAAGAGGTATTGGTAATAGTCCGTCAGTGCAGCGCCCGAATCCTGGACACCCGGTATACAATGCTGACGCGATGATCGACATTGATGTGCGATAAACATTCCTGTACATTTGAATGGTGTGCTGGGCAATAGATCGGGGGCGGAACGTGTGATTCTGCAGTCGTTGTACCCACGGTTTGTCATTGTCATAGTAGTAACTTCCAAAAATGGCAGGGCTCGCTGCGTAGCGCCAATTTTGAAAAGTATACGCTCCAATTCGTTTGACGGTCCATGTATTGTCAGGCATGACCGTAACATATGTTGATGCTCACGGATCTTAGCTTGAAAGAACAGGGTGCGGGTCTTTTCGTGTAAATGATGCAGTCGGTGGTGATACCGGTTGTAGCCGTGAGATGGAAGACTCTGGTGCTGGGGTAGTGATTGAGACGGAGGCACTCGCCGAAGACGTATTCTTGATTCATTTTGGACCACCTCAAGATCGAGACCAAATTTGTGGCCTTCGTAGATACTGTGATCCGCAAGAAGGTGTGTCTGAAGAGAGGATGAGGTTGTTGGCCTGTGGTACGCGTGCTCCGTACCGGTAGGTCTTCCCGTATGGAGGTATTGTAGGCGCCAGGCACTGAGAGTAGTGTCCTCTACCGTCTTTTTGCGCAGTTCATTGATCGTGGATGTGTGACCATACTGTCTAGCTTTGAAATTAAAATCACCCCCAACTACATCTGCTTGAAAGTTGCCAGCCTTAAAGGGATTCATGCATTGTTCAACTTCTGCCTCTATTAAGGAGTTGAGTGGGAGGTAGAATACAGCCATTCAAATATCAACGAGGGAGAAGAATTTCGCACATGGTCACTAATGGATGAGGCTGAATTTTGATGGGTGATGATTGGAAAAAAAATACAAATCCACAGTGCGAAGGATGTAGGGGTTGTGTCGTGCAGTGTGGTGTAAGATATGATGCTTCGTAGAAAAACGTACACGATCTAGAAAAGTCACCTTACGCCAGGTTTCAACCACACACATAACATCAACCTGATCCAAAATCGATATAACATTCAAACACTTATCTGATATTGTCGGAGTATCCATATTGAGACCTCGTGGGTTAAGAAGAGTCATCTACATATGTCCTAGCATTGTTTGTCCTCTGACAAGTTGATAACGGGATCTGTTATGTTAATTTACATGTTGTCATCAACATCACGTGTTTCCCGTTGATCTGCCTCCTCCAAGAGTCGGGAAACCACTGATGGGGCAGGTAGGTTGCGTGCGGAGTCTTGGGTTGTGGGGTTGTCACGCTTTGAATATCTTCTTAGCAAGTTCTGCATTGTTGATTTCCATGTCGACAACTGCATCACGTGCTTCTAGTTGATATGCCTTCTTCAAAAGTCGGGAAACGGCTGATGTGGTAGTTGGATTGCGTTGAAGTCTTGGGTTGTGGGGTTGCCACGCTTTGATTAAAACGCCCTATGAATGCTGTCGGTTGTAGATTTGAGGATCTCGATATCTATTGATTTCGTCAAAGGGTTCAGAAGGAGATACATTGGGCCTCGCGCTTGGTTTGAAGATAATATATAAATGCTGCTTTGGCTGAATCTGTGTGCTTATTGGAGCGTAGATCGATATTTTCGTTAGGGCGCCACTTCCAGAAATCATTCGTAATTCGGTTCAAACTGGGTTCAACATGAGCAGGAATACAAATTTGGATGATGCTGGTTGCTCGGCCTCGACGGTTGCGTTCGGGAAATAGTTTCGATGGCAGATACGAGAGAAGATGGTGACGATTCAAAATAGGGTGGGATCGCCACACTTCTTCGAAGGTATAGCGTGAAGGAGGCTTGCCATTTGGAAATACTGCTTTGAAGAAGAGCCAGTAGGTGACATAAGTGCTTCAGAAACTGCTGGGCGGACTAATACTTTAGGTACTGAAGAGGATGGTCGTGTTCTAGTGGACAGTTTTGTGGATTTAACTACTTTGGAACGGTAGTTGGCAACTTCAATAGTACGCTGCTCATTGGTGAGCAAGCGGGTACTGGAGAGGATGGTCGTTTTTTAGGGGACGGTTTAGTGGATGTAACAACTTTGGAACGGTAGTTGGTAACTTCAATGGTACGCTGCTCATTGGTACACAAGCGTTTTGCCAGTGTAGTGATCGCAGTGCCATCATTTGTTGGTTCTTGAAGTGAGCTCACACCATATTGAAATGTACTAGTGTGGTTGTTTTTTTTTGGGGGTTTTTTCTTTTCGGACTTAGTATCGAACCAGGCTATAACCCTTTTTCCTTAATATATGCCTCCTGGGACCAGTCACCCCCCCCCCCCCCCCACACACACGGCTACCACGCCCGGAAGCCTACCCTCTGACTCATCGACCTATTGTCACCGCCACCCCACCCACCACCGTGTTGTTCACTAATGACAAGAGTCACCACAAAAGAACATGGACAATTTTAGATATATCTGGATCTGAAAATGACACCTGGAAAACAGACCTCTATTTCACCGTGGCCACCGAATACACCGCTGATCTCCACCCCCTTCTCGACTACGACAGCACTGCCGCCACTTACATGCCTACATCACAATTTGCTACAGATAATAAGGTCACCGGCGCATACATACCAACGATCTCACCAGGATATCCTGCGATCGTTATCCACTGTACTTCGCACATCCTTGCATACTGACATTCTGCTCAGTCATCCATCACTTCTTCTCAAATTCTTAATCCGTCGCTTCAAGCATAACTTGGCAAAGGAATGCAAGAACATCAATTACGCCTACTTCCGGAAATTCAACCGTAAAGACGATGAACCGCTCCATGAATAGGCATACCGATGCGAACTTCTTGTTCGTCATGCTCGTGAACAAGGAACAACATTTTCTTCCGATTACACCCAAGATCTCTTTCACTCCGGCCTTCCTGTGTCACAACAAGAACAAACCAAAAGAGACCTGTTAAGTTGTTCGACTAACACGCGCCGTATCATCTCTATTCAAGATCTTTGTCTGTACGTGGAAGAGTGGGAAGTCATGAATAACATCCAATCACACACCGTCAACAGACTTCAACCTACACCTCCACCCAATGCTATGACGACTGCACCTCCAGCCCCGCCTCCCTGAAAGTTTCAATGCTACGTGTGCTGGTCGACACAGCGCCACTCTGGACGCTGCACGAAGACATATGGAAAATGCGGCGACAAAACCCACAACGCCAGATAATGTACTACCACCGCGATGAACTGTACCAATTGCAATCAATCTAATCACCTTACTGTAGTTTGTAGCCAACGTGCAAATAAAACAACTTCCCCTACCGATTGTCTCGACAGCATTTTAAACGAGTAGCCAAGATCACACGCACGATTACGCCTCACCAATCTATGGAATCCCAACTTTTAATTGACGGAGGCGCCACAGTAAATTACTTCAACTCCAGCGCTTGCCATAGGCTCATTAATATTGAACAGGGCTCCGAATGGCCGACGAATCAACCACAATCATCACAGAACGAGGTACACTGCCACATGTCGGCATGACCTACATCCTTTTTCCTCGATATATAAACCCAACTAGGTTTTTTGGTTACTCACATTATTATCATGTGCTACTATCTTGTTCACCCACAATTATCCTTCTGTTTTACTAGAATATAAAAACACAATTAATATTCTGAATAAACACTAATCAATTCTGTTCATGAATCATAAGTCCCAATATCTACTTTATATATAAAAAAGACTTCTAGAACAGAGAGGGTCTCTATTTTTTTATTTAAATTAGAACAGAGTTGGTTCTTTTTTAGAACAGAGGGGTTCTTTTTTAGAACATAGAGGGGTCTTTTTTTCCAACAGAGGGGGTCTTTTTATTTTTATATAATTAAATCTAAATTGAACAATTTTTAATTTTCATGGGCTATTTATTACAATAATGATAATCTCTATAGACTATATCATAAATAGATAAATAAAGAGATAATATTGCCTTCTATGGAACATATCGCCATGCTAAGCCACAAGGTGATTGCAAGTATTGCATCCCGGCCAGCCCAAATATATCTTAGGCAGTGTCAATTTGTACATTCATATATACAAGCCAGGAATATGAGTAACGAGGTCGACAAAGCGCAAACGGTATGTCACTGGTTAAAAGTAAGACACAAGTTGTCACGTATATCTAGGTTCTAGGTCGCTATTTGCATGGTTAAACAATGGCACGACTTGAACTTTTGAAAGTACAACTGCTCGCCATACTTTAGGTGTACTACATGAGTAATGATCACTGTTGTAGAGAAGTCTGTAGTGTATAACTACTTTCAGACTTCGCCGCCGCGGGTGGCAACCTCATTGTATGATGTCTATGTGCCCTAGGCTAGATCCCCAAACCGTTCCTTCGATGTCTGTGACCAAGTTAATTAACATGTATTTAAACTGAGATACGCACATTGATACACACAAGGTTTTTACCATAAGTATAAAAGAGTTCACAGCAGTACTTACATTAATTTGACGCGTTCATGGCCAACTTAAAATCTACCTGATAATATATAGGTAAATCGTGTACGATGATTAATTTATATCAGCGGGGATTAACGCTTAGTATGGGAAAGATACACGGGAACGATGGTGATTCCATATATCTGTCATGCGCCGGTTTTTTAAGTTGCACCGAGTGTTTTTATATCAGCAACCTACAATTCAAAACATCATACAGTGCGCTGTAGGAAACCGGAAAAGACGTTCACTGCATAGAGCTGTTGTTTTGAAACAGCTGCTATTTCGCAGCACAATACAAAGCTCATACCTTCCACAAATTGTATAATAATTCAATCGCCGCCCCCGACCTTGACTACGTCACAAAGGCAAAACCGCAGGGGGATACTATCTTCGGTAAGATACTGAGGAATGAGATTCCTTCTGTCGCAGTCTGGAGTGATGATACCTGCTATGCATTCCGGGACAAATTCCCAACTGTAAGTGTTCTCAAATTTACATCCGGTGTGTAAGTTAGACTGAACCGTTTTGGTCGTATGCAGCGTAAGAAATACTCATTATCTTGCATATGAGAAACTTGTGCTAGTCACTTTTACGTTGCGCTACGTGTTCTTGAAACTCATTTTAGCGCTTTAGCTTGGGACTGAAAATACAGAAGTCATTTTGAATAATGATTGAGACATCCTTCTAACCTTCTACCAAGTCGAAAGTGTTCTTCATCAGGTGTAAGTGAACTCTCTGACAAACCTTTTTTTTTTCTCGGTCAAAGGCACCCCAACATATAGTACTGATACCACGAAAGCCTATCACTCAACTTTCAAATGCGAAAGACGAGGATGAGCCTTTGTTAGGTCATCTTTTGAACGTGGCCCGCAAGATTGCCAAACAAGAGAAGCTAACGGATGGCTTCAGAATAGGTACTTTATTCGTTCCACATCGATTTGCGGTTTCTTTTTCAAATTGTTCATATCGTCATCAGTTACAGCTCATCTTTTGTTTGTAACTCTGATATTCTGCAAATGGGATTCAGGCTCATCTCCTCCCGTAATAGGTGTTTCTCATTGGGTTTAGTTAGGGTATATCTGTAGTATTACTGCGACAAACAGTTCAACATCTGGCATTGTTAATCGCACCGCCGATACCGACTTGCTACACTTAAGATCAAGGCTTAGACTCGGAAAGTTCACTATTGCTCAGACTTTTTAAGAGACTACTCCATCTGCAGGTAGTAACCTGTATTTTAATTTCTCTTATTGGCAGTGATTAACGACGGGAAGCATGGCGCACAGTCTGTGTACCATCTGCACATCCACATCATCGGTGGCCGTCAGTTGGACTGGCCACCTGGTTAATTCGGGATGCCGGCAACCTATTTTGTTGCTGCTGTGTTAAAAATGCGATACTGTCATCCGCACTGGTGAAACAAACATGTATCGATGGCGTTTCTGATATTAAAAGTTTGTCCAAAATACAGATGGATGTGTAAGTTGATTTTTGAAAGCTTCATATTATGGTCTGGCATGCGGTGAAGATATACGATTTATAAATTAAACAGGAGTATTTTTCCACATCGTTTAATAGCAAATCGTGCCTTTGTATGGTGGCCTCTACTTGCACGTGACTACATGTAGTCGTGATTGACATCTTTCGAGCACGTATGGAATTATTTTCTGCAAAAATATATTGAAATAGTCAACATTGAGTGACATTTTGACAGAGAATTAGAGCAAGTTTATCGAACTCTGACCAATCGCTTATACATATAGCAAATTACTACT